AATTTTCTTCATAAACCAACCAACCGAACATCTGGGATTAATCTTCCTACTCACACTAGTGTCCAATCAATACCAGAGTTTGTCCCTTCAATCTACATTCAAAAAGCAAGCTGGTGTTATCTTCCTGCTCACACTAGTGTCCATCAATACCAGAATAGTGTCCATCAATACCAGAGTTTGTCCCCTTCCAATCTACATTCAAAAAGCAAGCTGAGTTATCTTCTTCGGACGAATCAATGGTTTTTAACCGTGGAGCCTTTAGTTTCTTGTACTTAATCAGTATCATTGACCGTTGACCGTTTCGTCTGGGATTAGAACAAGCAAATGATTAACCAATGCAAATAAAAAGTGTAAAAACCAGAAAGGTTCTTGCCGTGTCTACGACTCTGCGCGAATGGGGGAATGCATGCTTAGGCGTAATACCCGGTTTTAACAACAAAATCAGATACACACTATCGGGTAGTTAAATTTGGTGCGAAAACTAGCCGAATTTCACTGTGCATGGCTGGTTTTCACTGTTCACTCTCTCACAAATTTCTCCAGATTCATCCAGATTTCTCCAAGCGAACAAGACCTATATATGAGTTTAAAAAGTCAAATATCACGTATAGCTACAAATAAAAGTAATATCGAAAGATAATGCTCAATATATAACGTACTTAATATAAAGAATATAATCTTAGACAGCAAACAGTGGAAAGACAACCTTAATCTTCGGGTGAAGACTCTAATTTCAAAGGGACAACTGACTGGTTGATCACAAGCCTAACTCCTCCAGACTAACAATATGATACCCATCCGGGATTTTTTCAAAGATTTAAAAAGTAAAGCAAGCGTAAGTATATGTCGTACTCAACAAATATAACATGGGGTTCATGAGGCTCAAAAGGCTGACATTGGTTAATTGCGATTAGCTTTTAATGAGTCATGATTTTAGCAATAGGGTGGCAACAAGTTTATCCACAAGCCCACATAAACACATGATCAGGTAAACATGAATAATGAATAGCATAAACAGTAATCATTAGTGAGCATCTTCATAATCAGTATCATCAATGTTCATCATCATTAACCGTTAATGATCATCTATTCCGTAAATGATCCAAGGCCGCTTATGACCATGAGCACGGCTGATATACCAGTTTTATACTCTACAGATGTTGTACACTTTCACCGTGAGTCGTGATTTACCCTTTCGACCGAGGTCGCGAGCCTCTTAACCCACTATCAAGGAAGGTCAGCAGGGTTTACTATAAAGCCTTTCAAAGGTTCGTCTAACAAGTTAGGGCCATTAAATTCGCTCGGCAAACAGATGTAGAGCCCCTCTTCGCGATGGCACAATAACACGCAGCCTATAAACAAGGGGACAGAGACCGCCCTATACCCGTTTCGTCAAGCCATTCTTACGTCAATAAAGGTAACCACTAATAAGCTAGAAAAGGTCATCATACTGAGCTAAAGCCAGAGCCATGTAGCTCTTACAGCTGTACTGTAAGTCTCGGATGATCACTTACAGATAAGTCCTTAGGGAGAGGAATCTAGAGCACCATAAAAACAGTCCAATACTCTAGCCACCTGATTTTATGTTGCTAAAAAACATCTTTTAATATTTATTGCATATACCATTAGTCAAGTTACAAGATCCTGGCTTTAGTTGTGCACTAGCATCATACTACCCAATGCAATACCCCATAGGTATTAAGAAATCCAAAAGATCAAATAGCTAGGAAAATTACTGTGGTTGTCAAGGTAGACACATGCATATGATGAAATTATTAAAGTGAATAGGACAACAAGGAATATCCCATGCTATACTTGTCTTAGAGTCAGATCCTTCTTCTAGTCCAAACCTTCAATGAAACTCCTTGATCAACACGTAAAGCTTACCGACTGAACATGATCATAAAGCACCACACAAGTATCCATGCAATCATACACGAAGCAAACAATAGAACTAAATGAGAACAGTACACCAACCATAATAAACAACAAGTAAAAAGGTTTTAAAGATGTTCTATGCGTTGCTACGAACACACAGATGCGAAAATCACTCTAATTAAAGCTATAACGAAAAAGTTATGAATTAAACAAGATTTCCTTTAAAATAATAGATTAAATATAACCCTAAATTTCAAAAGTTGAAATTATATTTAACAGTAAGATAAACATGTAGATTACTCCATTACGAATCTAACGCAACTTAAATGGGCAAATCGGAGTTAAAATGAAGAAGATATGACCTAATAAAGATAGTGGCAATTTTGTAAATAGATGGAACTTAATTTTCAAATATAAAATAAATAAAATCTGATTTTAAACCGGCAAAAGACTGCGGGTACTTTTTAAAGAAAAGACAGGGGCTCTTTAACAAAATTGCAGGGACAGCGGGTTCTATTATACAAAAATGTGAGGGCTCTTTAGCAAATAAGCCAGCCGACAGGGTATGTGCTAATCTGAGCTGTTGGATCGAATCTGGATGGCCAGCAATGTCAGCAAGATGTTGCAGGTTCGCTCAATTCTCCAATTCCTTGGATCATTCAGGCTGTGAATGACCAAATAAAATTACTAATTGTTTTTTCCACTGTAACATGCATGACTGGTGCAGGGGATCCACGAGAGAGAGCACTGGGCGCTCTTATCGATGCTTTTTGAAAGTTTTGTGCTTCTTGGTTTAGTGGAAAACAAGTAAGTTAATATGATTCTTTAATGATGCCTTCTTAGTAGTGTATGTAAATAGACCTGTGAACACGTGGTTGCACCCACAGGTGTGTAAGTTGTTACCTCAGCAATGCAGTTATGCTCTGTTTTTTTTAAGAAAAAATAGTGAGCTAATATATGCATGCATGAGTGGATAGGATCATAGTTTGCTGGGGAAATGGGATCCTTCTTTGTGTTAACTCTAACTGATGGGTTCTTTTTCCTCTTTAAAGATATGTCACCCTATTGAGCCAGTTCACCAATTCAATTAAAAAGGGATCTACAAAGGAGGTGTGTCTGACTTGTCGCTGCATTGGTTAGTATTCTTTCCAGTCATTTTTGCGGCAGCAGAATATGTGATATGCTCTTATTGTTCCTTTTCCCTTCTTTTTGTACCTGCAAGGCTTTACTGGCAATTACACTAGGTACTAGAAGTAGTTCGCACGAAATAATGGATGAGTCACATCCGCACCTTTTGAGAGTTCTCCAAACTTGGCCTGAAGCACCAAAAATGATCTCTGTATGTTGCAATTTTCACTGTTTTTCTGTGTGGTTCTAGCAAATTTATTTGTGCTTCAGTCTAGTTAAGTTACATCGAATGATTTTCGGTACTTTTGCTTAGCAGTTGTCACATTTGTTGGTGCAACTGATCTTGCTGAAACCCAGCTATCTCTGAAAGCCACCTGGGATGTGATCCATCCAAAATCAGGATCAATTGTAAGGCTGACTGACCTCCATTGTTTTTTTGTTGTATAATAATAAAAAGAAAGTATGGCATCCAGTTTATTCTAAGCTTAATTGTTTTAGGTGTGGTTTATAGGTTGGCATTGTCAGAAAACCGAAACCTCCTTTGTTAGCAGCTGTCATATCTGCATGGGCATTTCTTTTAACAACTGTTGGTTCATCTAGAAGAAATACTGATTCTTGGGATGTTTGGGATAATGCAGGCCCAGATGGCTCTCCTATCCGCTCTTCTCCAGGGACGGCAGTTTTCTAAAAAAAAAAGGGAAAAAATTCTCCGCCGCGAGCTCGTGACCGCGCATCCCGCCTGCCTTCTCTCCACTGCGCCTTCCTTTCCACCGTGCGCTCCCACTCACCTTCCTTTCCACCGCGCCACTACCGGAGCGACCCGCCATGGCCTTCACCGAACCTGTCGTGGCCTTCTCCATCGGAGCGGCGAGCTTTACACCGGTAAACTCCATATTCCGAGAGTCTCCATTATCCCAAACAGCAAGGAGATGTTACACTGAAAGCGCATGCGCATGTTGCAGTTGTATATTTTTAAGTGTTTCAGATGTTTTAGAGTTATGTTGCAAGTGTTTCATAAGGATGTTTTAAAGGTAGATCGGGATGTTGCACATTTTGCAATGGTTGTACACGTATGTTGCAAATATCTGTTTCAAATGTTTCATCTTTTTTTAAGATGTATGTTGCAAGTGTGTTATTTAGATGTTGTATATTTTTCACACATGTTGAAAATGTTTTATCCTGGTTGTTGGATATGTTTTGTAATGACTTTTTAAAGTGTTTTCATGCATTTTTATAAGAGAGAATTCCTTGTGTGCCATTATAAAAGATCGTAATTCCTTGTGTGCCCCTGGAAAAGTTTAGCGGTCTTCAGCGCTACTGCTCTAACTTTTTCGTGCACTCCATGCCACTTCCGTCAGTTTGGGCTCGGCGTTGTCAAACTGCAGGTGTGAAAAGACGAAAATACCCTTAAGTCTAAATATGTCATTAATTTTTTTGAGCATCTTAACGACTTCAAATAAAAAAACTCAAAACTAGAAAGTTGTTGATCTCGTGAGATCTATAATTTTCATATAAAAATTATTTTTATTTAATTCCATAAAAAAATATGATTTGATATGATTAATATCTTATAAAAATTATATTTTTTTTTTCAAGATACTGCGCGCAAGCCACCAGCGACAAGAGAGGACGGACCCAGCGTAGAGCGAGTGGAGGCACGCCACTCAATTTGTTGGTTTTCAAGGGAATTAGAGTATTTTTTTTCTAGCTGCAGTTCAGCAAGAAGGTACCGCCACTCAATTTTGGACTAGGTCTGCCCCAACGAGACGGAGCTGGACGAAGGCCAACTAGTGGCTCGTTCCCCCTCATCCGCCCTGCAGGAAATGGCCGATAACGGCGATCCGGCCACGGCCGTTCTTGGTAAGAACTAGGAGAGGAGACGGCCGAACCTTTTAATTGCTCGTGTAAATCCTTTCCTGTTTCTTGTTTCCGTGATCAATGGTTTCCAGTACCTGCTGATAATATAACGAGCTCGCTCTTATTAGTTGCCTCGCATGGCAGTGGCAGGCTGGTCGTCATCTTGGATCTGCGGTGGAGAGGACATCGGGCAGCTCACTGTCGCGTCCCCGTGCGTGCAGAGGACCATCATAGACTGTGTCAATGTGGTCCTGCTCGTCGCGTACGTCTCCACGCTGACGGCCGCCTGCGTCAGGCAGCGGCAGTGCGCTGCAGCTGCAAGCAGCAGGAGCGGCGCTCCTGGGTGGGTGCTGCTCGTCGTCTCCACGTGCTGCGTGGCGGCTGCCGTGGCGTACGGTGTCACCGATCTCCAGGACACCTCCGACGTCAAGGCGGCGGTTCCTTACTTCGTCAGGGGCCTGGTCTGGATCGCGCTGGCGGCATCGCTGCATGTCCAGCCGACGAGGCCGGCGAGGGCCGTGGCCGTGCTCTGGTGGGCGCTCTTCTCGCTGCTGGTCACCGTGTACAACGCGGAGAATCCTTGCCAGGGGCCACAGCGGCCTGGACCTCGCGGAGATGATCGCGTGGCCGGTCAACCTCCTGCTGCTCTGCGCCCTCGGCTCCCTGCTGCCGCGGGACCACGGGCACCACCAACGGGACGCATCCAATGGCAGCAGCGGCTTGTCGGAGCCTCTGATCGGCAAAGACCGAACCGTGCCAACCTCGGAGCTGTACCGCACTGGCCTATTCAGCCAGCTTGCCTTCTCTTGGTTGAACCCTCTGCTCCGTCTCGGCCGTTCCAAGGCTCTGGACCTCAAGATATCCCGCTCATCGTCGACGAGGACACCGCCCACCACACATCGCGGAAGTTCAGCGAGGCCTGGAGCCGCCACGTGAGTGACAAGGCCAGGAGCCGCCAGAGCGTGGGCAGCAACAGCCTCGCCCTTGTCTTGTACAAGTGTTTCCTCGGCGAGATCCTGTTCACCGGCTTCTACGCCTTCATGAGAACGGTGTCCACAGCAATTGCCCCCTTGCTGCTCTTCGCGTTCGTGTGGTACAGCAACCAGGAGGAGCGAGACCTCCGGGTCAGCCTGGCCCTTTTCGGCAGCCTGCTGCTCACCAAGCTCGTTGAGTCGTTGTCGCAGCGGCACTGGTTCTTTGACTCGAGGAGAACTGGGATGCGTATCCAGTCAGCGCTGATGGCGGTCATCTTCTGGAAGCAGCTCAGGCTGTCCAGTCAGGGGAGGAGCAACCATTCCACTGGCGAGATCATCAACTACATTGCGGCGGATGCATACCGGCTTGGCGACGCCATCAGCTGGCTGCACATGGGGTGGAGCTCGCCACTTCAGCTGGTCTTTGCCGTTGCCACGCTCTTCTGGGCACTCAAGCTTGGGGCTCTTCCTGGTCTAGTCCCCCTAGTCATCTTTGGCTTCCTCAACGTGCCATTCGCGAAAATGCTGCAAGGGTACCAGGCCAAGTTCATGGTTGCACAGGACGAGAGGCTCAGGTCGACGTCTGAGATACTTAACAGCATGAAGATCATCAAGCTGCAGTCATGGGAAGACAAGTTCCGCCACACGATCGAGTCACTCAGGGACGGGGAGTTCAAATGGCTGAGACCCAAATGAAGAAGGCCTATGGTGCAGTCATGTACTGGATGTCCCCGACCGTCGTCTCTGCTGTGATGTTCACAGCTACGGCCATCATGGGGAGTGCTCCCCTGAATGCTAGCAGACTCTTCACGGTCTTGGTCACCCTGAGGGTAATGGCTGAACCAGTGAGGTTTCTTCCTGAGATACTCACAACAATGATCCAGTACAAGGTGTCATTAGATCGAATTGAGAAGTTTCTTCTCGAAGACGAGATCAGAGAGGGGGATGTGAAAAGGGTACCTTCAGATAACTCTGATGTCAGAATTCAAGTCCAAGATGGAAATTTCAGCTGGAAGGCGAGCGGAGCTGATTTGTCACTGAGGAATGTTAACCTTCGCGTAAATAGAGGAGAGAAGGTGGCCGTATGCGGCCCAGTTGGCTCAGGGAAACTTTCATCCGTACCATTTTAGGTTGGTGAAAGTTTCTTTAAGGTCGGCGATAAGATTGTCGGCGGTCTTGAAATTGACGACCACATCGTTGATATAAGCTTCGACGTTGCGGCCGATCTGTTGATCGAGGCACATCTGGATGACCCTTTGGTAGGTTGTCCCGACGTTCTTGAGTCCGAAGGACTGATGGGATAAGTCTCTGTGGTCTTTGTGGGGCTGCAACAGCATGGTGGTCTTGCTGCCCAGCATCCTTGACTGGAGGACAGCAGCATCTTGACTGGACAGCATCTTAGCACAACATCTTAGAGGCATCTTAGAACAGCATCTTAGAGGACAACATATTAGCATTTTAGAGTAGCATCTTGGCATATGCTTGGCTGGCTAGCAGCCTATAAATATGTATCCCCAACCCCTTAGGTTGGCATGGCATTTGTGTGAGAAATAAACCAGAAAATTGCCCCAACTCCTAGTGTCATCCTCTCTCGATGAGAGTAAAAATTCTGCTACTACCAAGAGTAAGAATTCAGCGACTAACAACTGGTATCGGAGCCGTACTATCCTGTAACCTGAGCATCTCCTGCTCATCTCCTCTCCCAGCCACACAACAGCCCCAGCTGCGAGCAGCAGCTCCGCCCACTCCTGCTCACTCCTCCCCCGCAGCAGCTCGTCTGAAACAACTCTCTCCCCATGCAGTAGCCCCCCGTAGCGCGTCATGTCCGTAGGGCACTCTCAGCGCTCGGTCGCCTCGAGCACGCGGCGTCGGCGGGAGGCCGAACTTGCCGCGACAGAGGAACGCGAGCGAGCGGCGGCAAGGGCATCGAGGCTGGCAGCAGCCAGAGCGGAGGCGGAAGCAGCGGCGGCGGCGAATGCAGCGCGTGCGGCGGCAGCGGAGGTCGAGGCTCTGCACGCGGCAGCATCAGCAGCTCCATTTCCGCTGACGACACCGCCGATGCGGACCTCGAGCTGCTAGAGAGGGAGGTAGCGCGAGCGCGGGCGGCGCAGTGGGCAGCCGCACACGCCACGAGAGCGTGGCAGCAGCCCAGACAGGCGCGGACACGCTGGTGGCACTTCTAGAGGAGGCGCGCACGACGGTGGTGCTCTTGGGGCAGCCGCGCACGCCCACGAGCGCGGCGGCAGCCCAGACAGGCGCGGACGCGCCGGCGGCGCTCCTGGAGGAGGCACGCACGGCAACGGTGGCGAACGGGTCGATGGAGAGCGCGGCCTTCACAGGCAGCGTGGCTCTCTCCCCGGATCGGTACCGACGGGTCGATGGAGAGCGCGGCCTTCACAGGCAGCGTGGCTCTCTCCGGATCGCCGGCGGGTCGATGGAGAGCTCTCCCGGATCGGGCTCTCTCGTCGGTTACCATGGGCTCCAGGCTCCAGGCTGTTGTCGGGACGTCGGCCCGGCGGTGGGTGGCCCTACCCTCACCAAGACCAACTACGTCCGAGTGGGCTGCGGTGATGAGGTAAAGCTCCAGTGCGCGGCACATGTGGGAGGCAATCCGATCACGCGGCGTCAACTCGACCCTAGATCGACGGGCGCTGGATGCCCTCATCGCTGCAGTCCCGCCCGAGATGCAGTTATCACTTACCAACAAGCGGACTGCCAAGGAGGCTTGGGACGCCATCGCTGCGGCACGCATCGGCAGCGACCGCGCCCGCAAGTCCACACTGCAGGCACTTCGCAAGGAGTGGGAGAACATGGCCTTCAAGCCAGGTGAGGACGTTGATGACTTTGCTCTCCGTCTCAACACTCTGTTGCAGAAGATGATGCATTTCGGCGATGACACCTACGGCGAGGAGAGAGCTGTCGAAAAGCTCTTTTGCTGTGTCCCCAAGAAGTACAAGCAGATGGCTTGCTCGATCGAGTCCCTGTTGAATCTCTCCACGATGTCGATCGAGGAGGCGATAGGTCGCCTCAAGGTCGTCGACAGCGATGAGCCACAGTCTCTCTCGGGGCCCATCACCACTGGCGGGAAGCTCCTTCTCACTCGGGAGTAGTGGCTTGCCAGCCAAGGTGACCGGAAGAAGGGGGAGCCTTCTTCCGCGACAGGCGGTCGCATGCGTGACAAGCCACACAAGGCGCGCAGAGACGCCCAGGCCGGGGCGCAAGTTCGTGTCGAGGGTGATGCCCGTGGAGGCGCCCAGGGCGGCGCCGCCGGCAGGCACGAGACGATGCCTACCACAACTGCGGCCAGCTTGGCCATTGGGCCAAGGACTGCCGACAGCCACGACACGGCCAGGCCCACGTCGCACAGGCGGAAGGAGGAGCCGGCTCTGTTCATGGCACATGCAAGCATCGAGCTACCTCCAGTGGCACCGGCCGCAGTGGCCCTCCTCCACCTTGATGAGCCAAAAGCACATGCCCTCCTCGGCGATGACTCCGGCAACGACAAGACTGACGGGTGGTGCCTTGACACCGGTGCCACCCACCACATGACCGGTCGACGGGAGTTCTTCACCGAGCTTGACTCTAACGTCCGAGGCTCCATCAAGTTTGGGGATGCCTCCGGCGTGGAGATCAAGGGCGTCGGCTCCGTCATCTTCACCGCCGTGTCTGGTGAGCACAGGCTATTCACCGGAGTCTACTACATCCCCACGTTGAGGAACTCCATCATCAGCTTGGGATAGCTGGATGAGAACGGTTCGCGCGTGGTGGTTGAGGACGGAGTCATGAGGATTTGGGATCGTCGTCGTCACCTTCTTGCCAAGGTATCCAGAAGCGCAAATCGACTCTACGTCCCTAACGTGCAGGTGGCACAACCCCTCTGTCTCGCTGCTCGTCGGGACGACGAGGCGTGGTAGTGGCACGAGCGTTTCGGGCACCTTCACTTTGAGGCCCTGAAGCGGCTCAGTGCCATGGAGATGGTGCGAGGCCTGCCGTGCCTCGACCATGTGGAGTAGCTCTGCGACGTCTGTGTGTTGACGAAGCAGAGGCGACTCTCCTTTCCCCAGCGGGCGAGCTTTCAAGCCAAGGAGAGGCTCGAGCTTATGCACGGGGACTTGTGTGGCCCGGTGACACCGGCCACACCGGGAGGACAACGCTACTTCCTGCTGCTCGTCGATGACCTCTCCCGCTACATGTGGGTGATGGTCCTCGGCAGCAAGGGAGAGGCTGCGGACGCCATTAGGCTCGCGCGAAGCTCTTGTGAGGCGCGTCTGCGCCGCAAAGCTGCGCGTCTTCTTGCGCGACCGACAACGGCGATCGAATTTGCGTCGTCTTCATGCGAGGGCATTCAGCGCCACTACTCCGCGCCGTATAGCCCGTGGCGAACGGCGTCGTCGAAAGCAAAGCGCAACCAGCGGTTGTGGGGATGGCTCGGGCCCTCCTCAAGCGAGAGGGGATGCCGGTGTCTTCTTCGGGAGAGGCGGTGGTGACGGCCGTCTACATCCTCAACCGCTTCGCCTACCAAAGGCGCTCGGCGGCGGGGCGTCGTCAGACGAGGCTTGGCATGGGCGCAAGCCGGCGGTCTCCCACTTGCGGGTCTTCGGCTGCCTCGCGTTCACCAAGGAGCTTGGCCACATCAGCAAGCTCGACGATAGGAGCACTCCGGGAGTGTTCATCGGCTACGCGGAGGGCTCGAAGGCCTACCGCATCCTCGACCCGAAGACACAGCGTGTGCGCCGCGCGCCACGGCGTTGTGTTCGACGAAAAAGCGAGGATGGGCGTGTGACAAGGCGGAGGACGACGGCTCGGCTCCGACGTACAACGACTTCACTGTCGAGTACGTCCACTTCGAGGGAGCTGGGGGAGTAGGCAGCTCTTCTTCGACGAGCGCGTCTACCCCAGTCCCCGAGCCTCCACCGACCCCGGCGCCTGCTACTCCGACAGCACCACGCTCTCCAGCCAGGACCTCGGCTGCGATGAGTTCTTCGCCGGCTCCACCACAGCCGGCAATGCCACGCACTCCAGCACCGACAGGCGCCACTCCGGGCACGTCTACTCCACCACCAGCTCGTGTCGAGCACGGCCCGGTTGAGCTCGCTACTCCGCTCTCTTACGACGAGGAGCGCATCGACGCGATGCCACGACGGCGAGCCGTTGCGGTACCGTACGATGGAGAACCTTCTCGGCGACCAGCCGGTGCCGGGACCGGTGCCTCACGACCTGGAGGCGCAGTTGCACCTTGCGTGTGACGACGGCGAGCCTCAGTCGTTTGCAGAGGCCGAGAGACACGCGGCATGGCACGCCGCGATGCAGTTGGAGATGGATGCGGTTGAGAAGAACCGCATCTGGGAGCTTGCTGACCTTCAACTCACTCCAGATCATGTTAATCGAAGGAGAAGCCCCCCTCAAAAACACATGCATTCCTACGTTTCCAAATAATAATCCAGGCACCTAGAATAATTAAAGTGTTCACTCCTTTTTTTGTGCTCCTTGTTAACTCTGCTCATCGTCTTGCGCCACCAGTCAGCAAAACTTAGTTCGTTTTGCTGGGGGACTGAATCTGCTAGGTTCCGTCGATTGAATAATCTGAACCATACTTGTCTTTCCACCACGCATGTCTTGATTGCATAGTTGGCATTTATCCGGATGAGAGAGGTCCCTCTTAACAAGCCTATCCGCCTTCCAACATCTATTTCGGA